TGGCGCTGTTAGATTGCTGTAATTCATGGCGCTGTTAGATTGCTGTATGTAATGGCGCAGTTAGATTGCTGCTGGGCCGTCACGTTAATACAGTTTCCGGCCTCCCTTTGTGTGCGTAAAGCGGGAGAACAAACAGTTTTCTGACTACAGTTTTGTTTTTGAAAGGCTAAACGTCAACAAATATGGATTGAAGCAGAACATTTCATTGAATAAAAACACATTGTGAATTTTGTAAATGATTAAATCTATCTTTTATCAATATATGTTGACTTTTACTTTACAACGCTCTGGAGTTATTGGAGAGGATTGGATCCTGTGGGTTGGAAACAAACCTACACAGCGGCCGCGGGAATTAATGTTAGAAAGAGACACACATCAGCAAACAGAACATCTTCTTTATCAGAATTATGAAGACGAGAGGGATTGCTGTTGAACATCTTATTATAATATATATTTAGGCCACAATGTGAACTCAGCAAGAGTCAGATCTTTTTACATAGACATGAACACATTAGCCAATCGATCACTGTGCTCATCTGTGTGTGATTGTAGTTGTGAAATGATCTTAGGACGAGTTCTAACTGGATATTAATTTTTTAGTAACATTCCCCTTCAGTCATTTGATTTATTGAACAGGGTTTCACTTGTTTTAGAGCTCCAGCCCTTTGTGTCCCTGGAGAAATCAAATAAAGTAGCACTGACTTTACATGAGCTAGTGGTGAAGTATTAAGTCATGGCACTAATGTCGCTTGCTTGTCTCGTAGGACCTGCAGTTGGAGTACGGACACGATTCTCCAAGTCTACTGGGAGGAAACAAGTAGGTCACTTCCTGTCTAATTCTTTCTCTTTTTACTCTTCATCTCTCCACTGCTTTAGTTTTCATCTCAGTTACAGGTAGTAGTGTAACGGACCGTTGTCTATCCGTACGGATTAATGACATCGTTAACCATCAGAGTGTAAATAAAGTTGTACTGACTCAGTAGAACATGTGTTTCTAGTCTCTGATCTCTGATCACGTTTCATTGTAAACAACCAATCAGTGTTTAAACCAACAGGAGGAGAGCTAGTAACGTTAGCAGCACCGCTAACCAACAGGAGGAGAGCTAGTAACGTTAGCAGCGCCGCTAACGGCTAACCAACGGAGGTTCAGTTACATTATGATACCTTCAGGCTCTGCTCAGGGAAAAGGAGTATTGGTCGACTGTAAATTAAAACGTTATTGTGTCATGGTTGTATAACTATATTATATATATATTATATATTATATATACCTTTGTTCTTTTCTCTCTGACAAACAGGAGTCTCCTGAAATCGGTGGAGGAGGAGCTTCATCAGAGGTGAGTCACACCTCAGGGCCTCTTTGATTTGCTGGCGGTCTAACCACGCCCACCCATCGGCCAATCACCGTCAACGACTAATCGAGCCAATCACACGCCACTAAACTGCTGCCACGACTTCAGGCCGCTGCTGCTCTCTGCTTTTTGGATTCTTCTGGCTTTTATTTTTCCCTTCTTGCGGCTTGCTTCACGCTTTGATGTCATCAGCAGAAAGGCTGCGCTTCATAGGCGCTTCCTGCAGAGCACGGCTTCAACACACACACACAGTCACACACACACACACACACACACAGTTTACAGCCAAAGCTGCAGCTAAAATCAATGTTTACCATGTATATGATCTAGATCATGTTGATTCATTATATTCTGACAACAAAGTTCAAAAGTAGTTTCTTTAGTTTGAGTTTTTGTCTCGTTTGGAGGACAGATGTGATGGCAGAGTAGTAGATTCATTTTTTTATGTATACAAAATGCCAGATTTGATAGATTTTGGTAGTTTAGCAACTGTTTGATAGTTTATAGTTTTGTCACAGTACATTTCTAAGTCTTACTGAGTCTAAATAGAAGAGAAGGATCAGTGTGTTACATCGAATTATGGGTTTGTTCAGTATATTCACTTTTTTATTTGCTGTATTCTTAGAGAGACGGGCTTCGTTATTACTCTTAATCCTCAAACTAAAGCCGACTTTATAATAACATAATGGTGGAGTCTGAAGAAGTTGCTGTTTTTTTTAGTAAAGTTAGAGGTAAAAACCTCCAAGAAGGAGCGTCATTTCCTGTTATGGAAATGTTCTCATTATCACGTTTCTCTTTTTAACATTAATGCTGATTTTATTCAAGTTACTGGTCTTTTGATCGACGTAAAGCTGCTTCGCCTCATTCACAGAAGATTTCTTCCTTCAGAAGACGATTTATCATCGAGTAGATTTACACATTCATGGAATTCACCTTGTTGATTGGTGCAAACAACACGGATAATAAAGAGGACATGAAACGTAAAAGCAAAGTGCTGCAACAGTCAAACACACATGAATATAGATCAAATACATTACAGTTAAAATACTTTAAAAAGTACGTAGAATACTGTTTAAAATGAGGGAACTGTGCAGTTATGTGCAAATAGGATGTTTAATATACAGAGATGTTAGTGTTCAATTATTATTTTGATTAATTATGCAGCTTATAATTTAATATAATTTATGGGAAGCCAAAATTGTGAAAGCGAATAATATTCTATTAATTGTGTCTCTCTGTGTCACTTTAACGCAGAGAGACACAGATGTGAAGACGTTGATGTAACAACTGCAGATGCTTCACATTAAGAATGACAGGACTCCTCCTCTTCCTGTCGGGCTTTTACTGTGAAAACCACCTGCAGGAAGTGTTGAGTTTGATTAGAGGAGAACTTCACGCTGATCAGAAGAACGGCAGAGCAGCAGATTATAGAACGGGGAGGTTGTGGTTCTGTTGAATGGACCGATTGGAGGTTAATGTGTAGATTTATTAACGAGTTTGTCGGGATCCATCTTTATTTTGTGGATCCGTTCGGTCCTTTCAGATCTGCCCAGGGTTCAAGGGTCAGAGGTAGTTTGTGGATTCACTCAGATCTCCCTTCTTCCTCTATCCTCCTCCTCCTGTTGTCATCCCCTACCTCCTTTGCTTGCTCCCTTAATCCCTCCCTGCCTCAACCCCCTCTATTTCTTCTTCCTACCCCGTCCCTCCTATCTCCACCTCCTCTCCCAGGGGCCATGTGGCACACTTAGGGGATGATGAGGATGAGGATGGTGCAGATGATGATGAAACTCACACTCAGTAAGTTTTCTCCCGGTCGTAGAGCCTCGGTTTCATCGCCTCATTTCTGTGCACACATCACATCACACACTCCGCCTGTGTTTGTGTGTTTTCTGTGCCGTTGTGACGTTAACTACTAACAACAACCCCAAAAACTCACCTGGAAGCTGCTCGCTTTGTGTTTATCTTCCACCTATCTCTACATTCTACCTCCATAGATACACAGGGACAGTGAGTAACTTAAGCCACTGAACTGCACAGCATTAAAGCTACATGCTAACCCAGCTACATTATATTAACTTCTGCAGGATTCAGATGTTTTTGATCTGAAATGTGAGCTCTGGGTTTAGTTTCAGTGATCCTCGTGACCTTAACGTCGTATCTGCTGACGTATTGTTTCCTTCTCCACTCGCATCGCCATCTGTGTGCCTCCTTGCTGTGTGTGTGTGTCTGTGTGTGTGTCTGTGTGTGTCTGTGTGTGTGTGTGTGTGTGTCCGTCCGTCCGTCCTCTCCTGCCTCTATTAAACTGTGTATTTGGCATCCAGCCTCATCCCTCATTGTGCAAACGCCAAATGTCTGCGGCGGACCACAGCGTTCATTTATTTTCCACTGCAGTCAGAAAGTAGTGCTTAGTGCGCGTGCACACACACACACACACACACACACACACACACAGAGAGAGAGAGCGAGCAACGGATCCTGGTTCTAAACAATGTTTTATGACTTAAAACAAGCAGCGTTAGATGTTTCGATACCATTTATTTCCTTCCCGACACCGATTCTGATACCTGAACCAGAACTTGTGTAAATAATAATAATAATAATATTAATATTATTTTGTAGGACCTGATATGATTGGTGTCATCGTTGTATATCCTGTCTCAAGTTAAACAGATTTTTCCAGTGTAAAATATCTCCTTATTGCGTGCTAGCGTGTTGCTAGCTCTGGCTAACGTTACACTCTCTGCCCGGTCGCTACTGAGCATGTGCAACGAGAAAGAAGAGAGACGTCTTATTAGCTGATAATAGAAGAAGCTTCTTTCTCATCTGTGTTGAGAGCTGCACATGCTCAGTAGGGATCAGGTAGAGACTGAAGCGTAAATAAAGCTGATAAAACATGACGTGATATCGGATCGGTACCTCGTCCGGTACTTTAAACTGTGTCGGAGGCGTTTCTGATTCTCACAACAACTCATTATTTCACTCGATGTCACTAAAAAAAGTTTTTTCTCCATTTCTTTGCTGCAGTTTAGGGCCAGCAGAGTTTCTTTTAATGCCGGCTTTCTGCACCCATAAGTGTTTTCTTTAGCACTTTATTCTTCTTCCATCCAGATGGAAGAAGAATAAACACCGTGGAGGTGTATTAGCAGCCTCCACGCTGCTAATACACCTCCTTCACTCTGCTCTTAACACGCTCTGTAACGTCTGCATGTGTGAACTGATGAGCTGTACACTAAGGGGTTAAAACAGCTGCTGACCTCCATTCAACTGAATCACCGTGACTCATTTTCATCTGTGTTTTCATGTGATTGGCTCCCAGCTAGTTTGTCTTTAGATCTTTGTTGTGCTCTGATTGGTTCTTTTGTCAGTCGGTCATTAATCTGCCGTCTATGAGCCAAACATATCGTAAAGTCTCTGTGAATGTCAGCGCTGCTCTGCTGTCTGTATTATTCTGTTTAACAAACAACAATAAGCATCATTTAGAGAAGCTTTTGAAGTACTTGAAGCAACAATGACTGTTATCCAGTATCAGCGCTGCTAATCTCAGAGACTTAATGCGCTCCATCTGTAGTTTTTACTGATCTCTAGTGTGTCCACCTCACTCTGTATGTCTGTCTCAGTGTCAAATAGAGGCAGGCTCTGGTTGAATTTGTCATTTTCGGGGCTTTGTTTAACGTCTGATCACTCCATAAAATACGACATCCAGAAAACCTTTGTCTGTTTGTGATCTTATGAAATCTGTCCTTTATTATCAAAGCGATAATTACTTTAAATGGCGAGTTAAACCAAAGCCTCAGTAGAGACCTGTTGAAAACTGTCTGTTGTTTTTAGTGTAACTTTTGTTGTTAATAAACATATTTTTAAAATATGTTTTATGTGTTTCGTGATGCTGACTCTCACGTGTTCTCTTCTCTTTCTTCAGTAAATCGAGCACGATCATGAGACCGAAGGTCCCGCCTCCTCTTCCTCCCAAGGTATGAACAAATGTAGTCAAAGATTCAAGTCATTTAGCAACGTGAATATCTGGTGTATGTTGAATTATGGAGAAAATTATGTTTTATTCCCTTCAGCCCAAGTCGATCTGCTCGTCTCAGCAACCCCAGCATCTGAAACACGACGACAGCCAATCGCACAGCGAGGACGACGGCGGCGGAGGCGGGACCATCAAGCGCTGTCCGGCCCCGGACACGGCGAGCCCCGCCAAGGCCGCCGCCGCCGCCGCCTCCTCCTCCAACGTGCCGCCGAGGCCGCCGCCCCCGAAGCTGCCGCCGCACCGCCGCAGCAGCTTAGGTAACGACAGCCCGAAGCACGCGGCCCTGGAGAGCTCTGCCCCAGAGGATGATGGGAGCTTTAGGCATTTCTGGGAGTGGCTCCACACGCCTCACACAGAGGAGGAGCTGGAGGAGGCGTGGGAGGTGCTGAAGGAGGAGGTGAAAGAGGAGGAAAAGGAAGAGAGTAAGAGCAGCCACTCGGTAGACCGGTAGTGTCCAGACCCTGTCGTCCTGTCCCATGAGTCCGTTAATAACTCTCACACCTTCTCCCGTCCCATCAGCTCCTGCTCAATATAAGTGTGTGTCCTCTTCTTTGTGTGATTGGTTGTTTAAGCCAATCAATCAAAAGCTAGTAGTCTGCCACCCCCCCCCCCCCCCACCCCCTCCTCCATCCTCCATCCTCCTCCCCCCCTCGCTTCCTAGGAGGAAGAAGGACGAGGAGCAAACATCGTCCTGACGCCCTGTTCTGCTTCTCATTCTCCTCTTTGATTAAAATGTATAAATGTATGAATACTAAAATGTAACTCAACAGTAATCAAACAGTTACTCACTTTCTGTTACCTTGAATCCTTCAAAGAAAACTTATTTTTAATAATCAAAAATCTGAGAAAAGTCGGAAATGGATATATCAAAACATCCGTTTATAAAAATAATCAGTCTCAGAGAGAGAGAGAGAGAGAGAGAGAGAGAGAGAGAGATGGAGAAATAGAGAGAGAGACGGAGAAATAGAGAGAGAGATGGAGAAATAGAGAGAGAGAGAGAGAGATGGAGAAATAGAGAGAGACAGAGAGAGAGAGAGATGGAGAAATAGAGAGAGAGACGGAGAAATAGAGAGAGAGAGAGACAGAGAAATAGAGAGAGAGATGGAGAAATAGAGAGAGAGAGAGATGGAGAAATAGAGAGAGAGACGGAGAAATAGAGAGAGACAGAGAAAGAGAGACAGAGAAATAGAGAGATGGAGAAATAGAGAGAGAGAGACRGAGAAATAGAGAGAGAGAGACAGAGAAATAGAGAGAGAGAGAGAGACGGAGAAATAGAGAGAGAGAGAGACGGAGAAATAGAGAGAGAGGGAGAGACGGAGAAATAGAGAGAGAGAGACGGAGAAATAGAGAGGGAGATGGAGAGAGAGACGGAGAAATAGAGAGAGAGACGGAGAAATAGAGAGAGAGATACAGAGATAGAGGACGTCTCAAGTACCGATAGCAGAACTGTGAACTCCGTACCACATCAATGCTCTGTGTTTTTACTCATTTAGAACCTTTAGAACCCTCCCAGTCTGAATTGATCAGTATTGATCCTCATCAGGTCACGTTCCGCTGTCTTGGCTCACGACTGTATTTGATCCTCAGTGTTCTTCCTGCTCCTCCCTCTCTGTCTGTCTCAGTTGAGCTCCTCTGTGTCTCCAGTCTAGTTTAGATGCTACTCATAGAACCAGCTCTGTGTTCAAAGTGTCCGTGTGATCTCACACTGACTTGTGTCTCTGTTGGTGTTGTTGTAGGTAACGGGCTGAACACGGCTCCACATGGTGGAGAGAGAGACAGTCCAGCAGAGAGACAGTCCACCATGCCCCCTAGTGTCCCCGTACGGAAAGACAAGAAGGACGTACCGGTAAGCACACTTGACTCTGAGACCTGCAGAGACCTTTAGAGAAGTTCCTCTGTGTGTCTGCTTCCAGTGAGCTCATTGATTAACATCATGCAAAGGAAAGGATGAGATTTAGCCTCCTCATAAAACAACAAGAGAAAAACACTGAGAGGTCAAATCCACAAAAGGATTGTGCAGCTTTTGTCTGTTGAACCGTCACAAATAAGACAGAAAGATTCAAAGGGTGAAATGCACCTTTAACTGCGCTGCCAAACAAATAACAGCTCGCTGCTTCTTTGCTATCAGTAAACTGGATAACATGCAGACATTTAGTGCAAAGTTGGCCCATTTCATAAAGAAGAGCGCTGATAGACGGACGTAGTTACAGTGAAACTATCAGCTCTCCTCAGAGAGTTGTTGATGACTGAAGCACATTCATAAGACCTCTTCATGCTCCACTCAAACACAGTTATTTTGGGATGCAGGGACAGTTGAGTCATGAAAAACTAAATTAATAAAACTCCCCGACTACCCAAGAAATGAATGAAGTAAAAACATTGTTATTATATAAAAGAAGTAACAATATTTCTCCCTCTGCAAAAGAAGAGCAGATTAGACTCTTAGTGGGCGTGTTTGCACTGTAATATCTTTGGTGTAAAGAGTTTAATATCTTTAATGACACAAGGAAGATAGATTTCCTCAGTGATGCACAGTCTGTTCTTTGTGAATATGAGTTTTTGTAGGAATTATTTAGGAATTGTTGGTGCTGTAAAAAAAGCAGCGTGTCACCAGGATCCTTCAGACTCAAGTGCTGACTGTGTGTGTACGTTTGTGTGTGTGCGTGTGCGTGTGTGTGTCTATCCTAGAAGCCAATCAGTAATGGTCTTCCTCCAACACCCAAAGTCCACGTAAGTACCGTCTCTCTCCCCTGATGTAAAGAGGTATTTCTTTACAGGGAAACAGAGATGATGGGAATGTACCATCTCATTTAATCACCCGCTTCACATCTTTGATGCACGTCATTGTGTTTTTTCCTGTTGGTTAATTCCAAACCACAATATTTACACTCGACGTCATAATCTGCAGAAATGCTGTGAGGTAGAATCTCCATCAGTTTCATCTCCTTCACTCGTCTCCTCTGGTTCACAGATGGGTGCGTGCTTCTCCAAAGTGTTCAACGGCTGCCCTTTAAAGATCCACTGCGCCACTTCCTGGATCAACCCCGACACCAGAGGTAACCAACAGGAAGCCAGGTCATTAGACTGATGTGAGCTGCTGCTCTGTCCTCAGAAGCGGTGTAATGTGTGTGTGTGTGTGTGTGTGTGTGTGTGTGTGTGTGTGTGTGTGT